AGCGTCTTCGCATATTGCTTGAAAAAATAGTCAATAAAAAAAAAAAATAATAATAAATATATTGATTATGATTATTATAATTCGCTGAAAAAATCAAAGGCCGCTGCTGTGATAACGAAGGAATTGGTTGAGATAAAGATCTCATATGTAAGTTTTGTTGTTGTTGTTGTTGTTGTTGTTGTTGCTGTTGATGTTGAACTTGTTGTGACAAAGTTCGACTAAGATAACGTTCTTTCTTATTGAAACTGACCATCTTGGAAAATGTATCGTTGTCCCTATTTACTGAAGATTGAACGGAAAATGGTAAAGGAGGTGGATAATGCATATTTGAAGAAGAATTTGAAGGTAGCATTTCGGTAGCTGTTAACATGAATTTCTTATCTCTGGAGGAGGGAATGATTGTTGTAGAAGTAATAGTATCATCAATCATGACTGCAGAATTAGGCGAAATAGAATCTATAGAAACAGCCGATCCACGACGTTTAGAAATTGTATTTGGAGTTTTTGCTGCCAGCAGTAATTTTGTAATGTCTTCATCTCCATCCACAACGGAAGAACGCCTTCGCGATGATCTTGGTAATGACATATTATAATTATATATATATATATATATATATATATATTTAACTCAAAAAACCAAGAACTTGAAATATAATCAATATATTTATTATTATTTTTTTTTTTTATTGACTATTTTTTCAAGCAATATGCGAAGACGCTCACCGAAGTGAATATTTTAATAAAATGAAATAAAATACAAGAGCGTGAGCCAAAGAAAAAAAAAATAACTGGGCAGATGGGCATAATATATAAAAGAATCACTACCGCTACACAGTAACATAAATAAATGTAGGTATCACTTTAAAAAAATGTACGCATCATGTTAAAGATCGACTATTTATGTGGCGTACTATTTTAAAATCAATCTAATTAATTATAGAAGCAGGTAACCTAAAAAAAAGCGGGTTTACACTATACATATCGTAATATTTGCATTTCGAACGTCAAAAATTTCATGCATGTACAATTATTCGGGTTATAAATTTGGTGGTGGGGGTTTTAGAGATGGGTCCCTAAACCCTAAACTACAAGTTTAGGTTAGAGGTATAAACCCTAAACTATATCCTAAACTCTAACCTAAAAACCTGTAGTTTAGGATTTAGGGACCCATCTCTACGGAGGTTTTTTTTTTTAGTTAGACAATTTAAGTCTTTTTAGAAATTAGCGTTAGTGTTTATATAATCTTAATTACTGTACATTATTTACATACTTACGAGAATAGTTAAGTCTTTCGAAATTACCCTTAATTACAATAAATTATCCCCCCTTTTTAGTTATAGTTTTATCAAAATTAGTTTAAACAAATTTTTCAAAATTTGCTTGGAAAATAAAAATAAGACTCTATATTTCGTTTTCTAGGTTATAACTTTAATCACTATGTGGAGGTTTGTCTCATTAATTGGGAAGAAAGTTTTTATGATTTTTTGTCAAACTTCTTTGTGTTATTGTACTAATACACTATGTATTAATATCGATATTTCAACCTATCTCTTTTTACCAACAATTACCGTAATAACAATAACATGCTAAAATATCATGTTGTTTTAGTAAATTTATTTTATAAAATTTTTATTATACTTTGACTTTCACTTATAAAATCGTGAAATAACGGGACAGCATGCTTTGTTTCTTCTCGAAAACGCGTTTTTTTTTTTATGTTACATGGTATCACGTTACTGTATTGATTATTGTCTTAACTGGTTTAAAACACGTTTTTTTTATTTTACATTCACGTTATAAGATGCATATCATACTAATTTTAGAAAAAAACTCGCGTTATCGTTATTGCATACGCGTCGACAAAAAATTATACGTGATTTTGAATAGATCATCTGATCGTCGGACTTTCGTTTATCAATAATTATCCGGTAGTTACTATTGATTATGCTACCTATTATTTCTTTATATCATGGTGTATTGATTATTACTACGTCACAATGTTTTGGTATCAAAAGCGGAATTTTAAATTTTGTACATATGAGCTCGAAGATTATTTAATCAAAACATGATCAATGACTACTCCCGGATAATATCGTTATCAGGTAATTTGTGGATGTATTGAGTTAACGACATCAACAACCATTGATTAACTCAGATTGCGGCATCTGAGCCAATCAATGCCTGTTTAATGCCGCTAACTCAATATCACCCACAAACTATAACTATTAAATAACACGTAGTTTTTTCTTAAATTTTTTTCTATTATATAAACAGTTTTTCGTAAGTAAAAAAAAAATAAATAATGATTAAAATTTCAAGCGACAAGAAGAAAGAAATCGAATGGGAATCGATAGATAAAAATATGTTTGAAGGATATGTACTGTATATGATTTCTTGAAGATATCTTATCAAGACTTCGTAGATACATTTCATAAAAGAGACAAGATATGTTTAACGCTTTCATATATGAATTATTAATAACCAATACAATTTTATGTTGGATACATGAGATAGTTATGTTTTTTTGGAGATGGAGAGAAAATATTTGGTGATAGAAACATTGAATTTGGTGGTGAGTAAATATTTATTTACTTACTAAGTATGATTGTTAAGTCTAAGACCTACATGCAGATACGCTGCTGGTTCAAGTAATGAGCTGAGTAGACCATGTAACTCGTGATTAAACTACTCAAAATTGTCTATGTAGTGAAGATGTAGACAAATATTTATAATGCAAGAAATACTTATCTTTTTATTTTTATTAGGTTAATATAAACTATGAATTTTTATAGTTAATGTAAATTATATAATGAGTATTCTTTTGTTAGAATGCCTGAAGTATATAAATTTTTAGAAACTATAGGTAACAAAGCAAAAAATGAATATGGGTTTTTAGTTTCAAATATATTTGCTTCAGAATATGCTAAAAATATATTAGAAAATTTAGAATTGAAAGATCGTGTATTTATTTGTGTTTATTAGAAATTAGTTAACTTGATAAAAGCTTGTGAACAAGAATTAAGAATCAAGACAAAAAAACGTATTAATGAAGATAAAGTTAAAGATGAAATCATTAAAAAACTAAAATGTGAAAATACTTTACTTAAAAAACGTATCGAAAAATTAGAAAATGAAGAGAATAACAAAGAAATTGAAGAAGTAAACCAAGAAAAAGAAGCGAAAGAATTATAAATGAAGAACTTACAGACGAGGTTATAAGTGAAAAACTTACAGACGAGGTTATAAGTGATGAAATTTTACAGTAGTTTAAAATTTTACAGTAGTTTAAACGAATAGATTGTATATACATTTCTTTATTTCATATAATATTTTGTTAATAAAGTATTAGACATATTAGATAAGAAATTGGTAAAAATACTATATATTTTACGTACTCCTTATATAATTATTATGATCACTGAATTTTTATATTCCGTTCAAGTTATAAGTTATAGAAATACAGCCGCAAATTCACCTTACCAGTATCTTTAATAATAAAATTATTCAATTGTGTGCTATATGTATAAGGTAAAGTAGAGTATCATGACGAAGATAAGACAGAATATTTCGTGATCTAATGATTGAAATCAACGATTTTATGCTATTCAATTCTTCTCAAAGAGAATAGTATAAAATCGTTCGATCTACTATATTACTCACATCTTTGTCATGATACCCCCTTTACCTAATTTCCCTAAGTATAAAACTCGAAATGCAATAATCAAATCTTAACCATTTATAATATTTGCTTCTCTAAGAAATATTTAATATTCAAAATATTAAAACCTAATTGATTCGAATATATAGTATAATATGGTATAAGCAAACTTACATACAAAATTAATAGAATAAAATATATTCATTTAACATGAACTTATAATTTAAATGTAGATTTACAATCTTAAAGCTTAAATACAGTATTTGCTTTTCGACTAACACTAACATAATACAAGGAAATAATACAAACACTCATAAATAGAACTTATATTTACCTAGATTAAAGAAGTTTGTTTAATAGTTTATGTGAATTATTGTGTAGATTACTAAGTAATAACCAATTTAAATAATGCCCTTCAGAGGTAACCTTTGGAATTATTTATCTATTTTAGCGATTATATATATAGCAGATAGAGCAAAAGATGCTCTATTCTGATTCTGATCAGTAATTGACCAATCAGATAAAGGTCGCTGTGCTACAATACGCTGGTATTATATAACTACCGCTACTCGTTTTTTTTTTTTCAAATTGTTACTGAAAGTTAATTAAATTATGGCAGTTACTGATAAACCTGAAAATGCGCCAGAACATTGTCCGGTAATTGGAAGGGATTTGCACCTAAAATCGGTATTTTTACTTTCTTACAAAAATTATTTTTTGTTTCTAAAATACTAATTTATTTTTATTATAGGGGCCAAGTACAGAAAATGCAGGAAAAGCCTCAGCATGTGAAGGTTGTCCTAATCAAAAAATATGTGCTACTGCTCCAAATGGGCCTGATCCAGGTATAGATCGAAAAAAACGTGTTATTATTTCATATAAAATAATTTTAATAAAATAATTTTGTACATATTTATATAGCATTACAATTTATTAAAGAGAGAATGAATTCAGTTAAACGTAAAATACTTATATTATCGGGTAAAGGAGGGGTTGGTAAAAGTACATTTACAGCGCAACTTGGATTTGCTTTTGCTAGTGAAGAAAATGTTCAAGTATGTTTAGATTAATTAAATATCTTACGCGACGATTTTTTTTTTTTTTAAAAAAAAAAACTCATAATTTTTATAATTAAGGTTGGAGTAATGGATATTGATGTTTGTGGACCATCAATTCCAAAAATCATGGGATTAGAAGGAGAACAAATTCATCAAAGTTTATCGGGATGGTCACCGATTTATGTGCAAGATAATTTAGGTGTTATGTCAATAGGATTTATGTTATCAGACCCTGATGATGCAGTTATTTGGCGTGGACCGAAGAAAAATGGTATATTTATATTATATTCTCGAATTATCTAAAAGATCGACTTTTTATAGCATAGATTTATTTAATTCATAATTTTGTAATGTTAATAATTTATTTTATTTTTAATTTCTTTTAAAGGGTTGATCAAACAATTTTTAAAAGATGTAGATTGGGGCGAATTAGATTTTATGTTGGTTGATACACCACCTGGTACATCCGATGAACATTTATCAATTGCACAATATCTCAAAGAAAGTGAAATAGATGGTGCAATTATAATTACAACACCACAAGAGGTAGCATTGCAGGATGTTAGAAAAGAAATTGATTTTTGTAAGAAAGTAAAAATACCGATTTTAGGTGTTGTTGAAAATATGAGTGGATTTATTTGTCCGAATTGTAAGGTATTTATTGTCTAATTTACTTATTAATTTGTTTATTTATTATTATTTGAGTTATGAAAGAAGTATATTTTTGCATGCGCGCGTAAATAGGGCGAATCGATTATTTTTGCACCCACGACAGGTGGAGCGAAAAAAATGGCTAAAGATCTGAATATTAACTATTTGGGGTCAATTCCTCTAGATCCTAAAATTGGTAAGCATTAAAAATATATTTGAAATTATTAAAACTAGTTATTTATAATTATATAATCTTACTAGGGAAAGCATGTGATATGGGTATATCGTTTCTTGATGAATATCCGGATTCACCAGCTTGTAAAGCTTATTTGGATATTATTTCTGGTAATAAGTTTTTTCTTATTTTATACTAGTTTTAAATAATGAATAATAAATTTTTTACAATATATATATTTTTTTAATAGAAATCAAGAAAAAATTCACAGATTGATAAATTTTTAATCAAGCATGGTATCATGTGATTTTGTTTATTATTTCATCGCTAACTTGAAGACATTTAATAATCCATAAGAGGTGACCTTTTTTATCATTTACAAGCAACTATTGTAGCTTATCTTTGTATTGTATTTATTTCATATTTATTTCATATTTTACGCATTCTTTGTTCAGATAATATATTCTTTTTTATGTGTCGATTATGTCTTATTAATACAAAAATGATTATCAATGCGACATCGGTTATACAGTATGGTTAACCAATCAGATCGCAGAATATTCGTGTAACAAAATTTATTTACCGACCCAAAAATTCACTTTTCTAATTTGGGTCACGAACTAGGAAAACCCGCCTTTGACGATAAGTTGTTGAAAGTGGCGGTTTCTATCTACATATATTTTCAATTTTTTATTTAAATTTTACGAATTCATGAAATTAAAATAAAAAAATTTCATCGAATTTTATTAGGTAGTTGTATCAAAATACAAAATACTTTAGCAAATTGAAATTGTGTCAAATTTTTTTGAGAAACTTTGAAGATATCTCGACAGCTATCTGATAAATTCGATAAAATTTTTTTATTTTAATTATAAGAATTTGTTAAATTAATATAAAAAAATCTTCATCAAATTTTATTAAATAATTGTATTAAAATTTAAATATTTTAGTAAATTGAAATTATACTAAATTTTTTGAAAAACTTTAAATAGCTATCTAATTATTTTTTTTTTTAATAGTAAGAATTTATTATTATTATTTTCAAAATGATTGAAATTTTAAAAAAATTCTATATACTGATACTGTATATACTAACTTAAAATTATTAGTAGCTAAAATTTTTTTTTATATATTTTATTTTATTTTATTTTATTGTTAAAGATGGCTTATATTGCTAAAGAAATTTTATTAGTGTTGCAAATGGGATTATACATTGATAATCTCTACTGTTTGT